CTCTTTCAGGTTTATCACTGAAGCAGTTTTCCCTTTCTACTCATCACAGAAATACTGTATTTGATGCCTGGGGTGTTCAACTAGAGCTACTAAAAGGCATTTTACTTCTTGCCTGTACAACGGCTAACCTCTGATTTTTACATGCCTCAACACGATGTGCTGGACTCAGAAAGATTCCCGTGGAGGGAGGAGGCAGCGCTGGGGCACGTGCACGGAGAGTCCCGTGAAAGCTTCACCTGACCCGGGGCTCGTTGCGGCCCTTCGGAGCTACGCAAACCACTTCCCTAATATCACACGTATTTACTGTAAAGGCGCCAGCAGTCCCTCATGTGACGGCGTCCACAAGCGCCCGCTTGTTCTTTCCTGCCTTGTGCAACTTCTTGAATTGCATCAGAGGAAGCAGCAGGTTTGGCAGAGCCAAGAGGCAGCGTGGGACGAGCCAGGCCTCGCCTGCAGCAGGAAAGGACCCGCACCCGGGGGCCACGCTTCCCCTTCGTGGGGAGCTCCACTGTCCCACCCAACCCCAACACCCATCACGAGGGGAGACGCACTTAACACGCGCATTACCATTTGCCAGCAGTCAAGGAATGTGTTTTTAATATTTTTTCCAAGCAGACAAACAGCAATTTTATTTATAATACTTCCTTCACATTTTTGTGATGGAGAAAGGTGTTCTCTCAGAGAAGGACAGGCTTTGCGTTCCATGATCCATGTAAGCAGGAGGGGCCTCGTACTCATGGTTTGGTTTTTTCCTGTTCATTTAGTGATATGCTCTTCCAACCACACTGATGGTTTAGTTTGGACATATAAAGGCACTTTTAATAAGATAAACATAAATGTTAAACAATTCACATTAAGCCACCATCTGGCCCCCAATGGATATTTTCATGTTTTAGATTTACATATCAGCATTTGCCATCTGGGCAGAGTCTGTTATACATTTTATGAGAAAATCTCTGACTACATTGTAAAGTTTGACAATTAACTCTTATCGCTCCTAAGCAAACACGATTGCAGTAGGGTAAACAAAGGTCAGAAACCCTGTTTCCATGTTATTTTCATAGACCGGCTTTTGTGCTTTAACCAAAATGCTAATCTTTTGTTTCATCCTTGTTTGGTTTATGTGACTGGGTTTGTTTGGAATATAAACCAATTTACAGGTGGCACTGGTGAAGTGGAAACATCCAGTGGCTGAAGCGTCAAAAAGCCCTCTCAGACAGTGCTTCGACGCATTATTAACTATCCCCTTAGTGCACATAACTTCTTAAAGCCATGCCTTTCGCAATGCAAACTGGGATAGCATTAGCAGTGCCTCTCGCCAGACAAGGATTTGGTTTACTTTCCCATGATCCGTTAGCACCTAGCTCCGAGAGTAGATTTCACATGCCAGCATGACTAAATGGAAGAGCAACAGAATCAGTAGATCTGCATCTGGCTGGGGAGCTCGGACAAGAACCCTACAAGCAGCAGAAAAACACACCTATAGCTTTTCCACTGAAAGAGAACTGGCAAAGTATCCCCCAATTCTTACTTGCTTTTCAGAAAGGAAAAGGAGTTAACAAAAAGCACCTTAAATTTTTTGCTGTGTTCAAAAAACAAACAAACAAAACCACACCACATGTGGGAAGTGAGGAGCAAGGACCGGAGACACTCCAAGGCAAGAACGAAAGGGAGGGGATCAAGTAATAGAGGAAATGCAGGAGAAGGAATGGGAAGCATCTTACCCCTTCAGAAAAGTTCAGGCTGTGGAAGGAACTACTGAATGGCTTCCCCTCATCATCCTCAAGAGGAATTGATTCTGTTCAAGCAGGTTTTAAGAATGATTTATAAATCATTCAATAGAATCACAGAATGGTTTGGGTTGGAAGGGACCTTAAAGGCCATCTCGTTCCACCCCCCCTGCCATGGGCAGGGACCCCTTCCACTAGACCAGGTTGCTCAAAGCCTCATCCAGCCTGGCCTTGAACCCTTCCAGGGATGGGGCATCCACAGCTTCTCTGGGCAACCTGTTCCAGTGCCTCACCACCCTCTCTGGGAAGAACTTCTTCCTGATATCTAATCTAACCCTCCCCACTTTCAATTTAAACCCGTTCCCCCTTGTCCTGTCACTTACAGGCCCTTGTAAAAAGTCCTCCCCCAGCTTCCTTGTAGCCCCTTCAGGTACTGGAAGGCTGCAATGAGGTCTCCCCGGAGCCTTCTCTTCTCCAGGCTGAACAAGCCCAACTCTCTCAGCCTTTCA